CCTGTCCCCTGGACTCTGATGCTCTCTTCAGGGGCGTGCTAGTTACACAGGTCGTGTCCCCGCTCCGACCCACTGTGTCACTTACTGCTGAAGATTGAAGGCAACAGCTCAATTCAGTTCAGTTTTCACAGGACGATGTGCGGTCCGGGCCAATCGTGATGTGTTGCTGACTCACCTTGTGCTTTCCGACACAAGACAGCACAGGTCACAGGGCTTCCGACGGAGCCAGGAGCAGTCCAGTTTCTTGCACCACTGAGCTTGGGAGTACCACGGCACTGCGACAATTGTGTTATTTCGTTCACGTAGACGTGAGTGAGTGCGGTTCCGGAAGAGGAAAATGCACTTCTGGTGGTTCCTCACAGTGACAGTACACGTCTGAGGTTTTGCCAGGATCAAAGCAACAGCTCGCAACCCACCGCTCCGAGCTACCCAGAGTAAAAGGTGTGTTGGGAGAAGAATTATGTTCTAAATGTGGTGGTGCTGTATGTTGAGAACTTTCAGTAAAATGTGGTGCACAGTGAATGCAAATTGGAGCTGAGGGAGTTGGAGAGAACAAGTGTAGTAAGAGATAAAGAGTTAGGAGTTAAAAGTGGGGGACCCGGAGACGGACGAGCTTTAGCGACCTCAGGCCCGGTGTCAGATACAATCGGGGAACGCCGATGCCCAAGATGCGTCAAGCTTCAGCTTGAACTCGGCAATGGGTTTTGACGCCACTACCTTCTGCGGCAGTTTGTTCCATGTCTTAATTACCCGGTGCGAAAAAAGGTGACTCAGGCGTTTGAGTGCCCGAGGCTTGTCTAACTTCATGCTGTGTCCCCTTCTGTTGGGTACATCGTTCCGTTGAAGTAGGTGTGAGACTCCATGAGAGAAACCGGTCAAGATACAGAAGGTTTCAATCAGGTCCCTCCTCAGCCTTCTCCGATTGAGTGAGAACAGGTTCAGCCCCTAAAGGTGTTAGGCATATGTCGCTCCCCGAAGGTGCGGGAATATGCGCGTGAACCTCCTCTACACCCTTTCCAGAACCTTTTGGTTTTTCTTCAGAGCTGAGGACCAAGCTTGTACACAGTACTCTAGGTGCGACCGAACGAAGGCCATATAAAGCGGGACTAGCACAACAGGGTCTCTGGACGTCACTGTGCGCTTCAACCTTAATAACGCTCGATTGGCCGTACGCGCCGCAGCAAGACATTGGGTAGAGGAGTGAAAAGCGGAGTTCAGAGTGACCCCTAGGTCCCTGATCTCTGGCACTACTGCCATAACCTCCCCGTCTCCAGCTACCATGTAGTGTGACCCAGCCCCTGAGCACTCCCGACTAGTAGGACCTTACACCCCCCTTCACTTAAGAGGAGACCCCACTCTGCAGACCATGCTTGTACTGCATCTAGATCAAGTTGGAGGTTTACACCCTGGTGCGAGCCAAGGAGTTCAACGTCGTCCGCAAAGAGGAACGTCGGGTTTGATAGGCGGGGGACTAGATCATTGATGAAGACAAGAAACAACAATGGTCCACGGACCGAGCCTTGGGGGACCCCGATGTAAGCATGCCCACATTCCGATCAATCCCCCTCCACTCTTACGCGAAAGGTTCTCCCTGTCAGGTAGCTCTCAGTCCACCTGACTAAACTAGGGTGGATCCCTATCGATCCTAGCTTACCTAGCAGCAGCCGATGGTTTACGGAGTCAAAGCCTTGCTGAAGTCTAGATAGCAGACCTAG